CCCATACAATTAAAAGTAATTAAACAACATGAGGGTGAGAAAATGATGTCAGAATTTACATTTTTGGGTAAACTATTTTTAGGCTTAGAAGAAAAAATCGGAGCATTTCCAAGTTACTAAACTTTGTTATATGTCAAAGCAATTAAGATAACGGTCTTAAAATGCAATATAGGAACATGATTGCTGCCTGAATAGTTGATATTAATATTTAACAACAATGATATTCATATCCTGAAGCAAAAATACTAAAACCAACTGCACATACTGTAGATGCTGCTTTATATGCACACACTAAATTGGACATGTTCTATTTGTTTGTAAAGTTGCTGCTGCTATACAGTGTGCCATGGAAAATGAATCTGATTTTAAGGTTGATTGACAGATCAAAGGGGAAAAAATTGACAGACTGCTTGGGAAACCCCATGATCTACACATCTGCTCAGCAGCTTGTGAAAACAGAGAGACCTTGGCTTAAATGGCAGGAACCATATCTTCAAAAAATCTCTAATTGTAGATCTTTAATCCCTCTGTCCCATAAACACAAGGCATCACGAGGCGTGTTATTAGCACTTTAAGAAGCCAGAACAGAACCGAAGTAAAGAATGTGGGATAGGGGTATCGGTTGACTTTCCTGAAAACAAAAAGCTTTGAGAATGGCAGTCCTCGCTGAAGTGACTTGGAAAGAGAAAGTGATGCTCGTGTCGGATCAAAGCAAAGCTACTCATAAGGAATTTCATGATCTTGGCGCGTTATCCAAGCGCTTTAGAAAAATAGGGCATGACTGCATTTAGTCTGATCTGCTTTATTCTGAAAGGAAAATTGTAAAAGCATGCAATGTTTCAGACAACCTACAACTCACTGATGATGTTTTGGGGGATGGAAGATATTCATATAGTTTAACTGCACGTGAATAATGTATTTTACACCAGAAACATGGTCTGCCTTTTTGGGAGATTTAGAAAAGATTCACTTGAGAGCAGATTATGAAGTTGACTCATAAAATTTCACCATATTGAGCAATTTTAACTTAATTTAGGAAGTCAGTGATGGATAGTGCACACACACACACACACACACATACCCACACATTTACATTCCAACAGATCTTTGCTGAAAGACACTCAATACACTCAGTGGCATTTTAAGTCATAATGCCTGCTTGTAAATACAAATCATTTTGATAAATAAATATGTAGATCTTGCAGACATGTCCAATAGGTCTAGTTGTCTTTTATTGTTACAACACATAAAACCTGAACACCAAAGAGCATCATAGATCAACCGTAATCTCCAGTTAAGTCTTATCTCACATTTCATGCTATTATGAATGCACAAATCATACACATTCACAGAGAGCTACATCTCTCTTCTTTTTTTTTTTGTGCATCTCATCTTATTCCTACATGTCCTTTTAGCTCCATTTACTCACATACAATAATGCATTATGTTAAAAGTCCTTTGGTTAAGAAAGTATCTGCCAAAATGTGAATTCTGAATAGTTTACTAAAAGCTATAAAACAAATTTTGGAAACTAGTATACGAGAAGCCCAGTTTGGTGTCAAGCATAGATATTCAGCCTGGCTTCATATTACAGTAACTAGGATTAGAAGAGCAAAATACACATTTCCCAGCACCCATCTCTGAATATTCTCTTCGATTCCCCAGATCTTCCTTTCTCTTCGCACTTTGCCTCCTCAAATTTCTGACACATTGCACTTTCACACATGACTGACCATAGGACAAGCATTACAGCAGGCAGCCAAGGGAGTCCATAAGACTACATGCGAAGATTTATTGGCCACATATACAGCATAGCTGAGACCGGCCTGTACGTGATTCATTCAAATTGCCAGCAAGTTTACATAAAGTCCTTTAACTGGACTGAACATTTGCATATTAACCAATAAGAACTTGAATGATGAAAATGAACAGAATAAAGGAAAACACCTCGACATCAAATGAATACCGCATTAAAGGGATAGTTCACTTTGAAATTAATTTTTTGGTATGTTTTAGCTTACCTCAAGGGCATCCAAGATGTAGGTGTCTTTGTTTCCGCAGTAGTTTCAATTTTGATATGTTTAGGTCAAACTGTTCTTGTCTGTCAGTCATATAATGCAGGTCTATAATGGTCACCACCTCAAAGAGCCTGCACAGAGAAGTCCAAATTAAACATGATTTAATGACTCGTAAATGTAAGTACACATTGATGGCCTAAGACACGAAACGAGCGGTTTGTGTGAGAAAACGAACAGTATTTAAATCGTTTTTACCTCTTGTAAACACAGCCACGTCCAAGTGATCTGAGGTCGCCGCGCTTCGGTCTTTTCCGGAAAGCGCCGGAAGTGATCTCTCGCGCGGGTACGTCACTCATTGTTTACACAGAACAGAGATTGTAGGTAAGACGACTAATTAAAATGGTACTAATTTGCGCTTATCCGGGATGTTTAAACCGTCGTAAAAAAATAAAAAATAAAAAAATAAAAAAAAAATTGTATGAGTGACATACACGCGCGAGAGATCACTTACGGCGCTTGCCGGAAAAGACCGAAGCGCGGCGATCTCAGATCACTTGGACGTGGCTGTGTTTACAAGAGGTAAAAACGATATAAATACTGTTCGTTTTCTCACACAAACCGCTCGTTTCCTGTCTTAGGCCATCAATGTGTACTTACATTTACGAGTCATTAAATCATGTTTAATTTGGACTTCTCTGTGCAGGCTCTTTGAGGAAATGACCGTAGACCTGCATTATATGACTGACAGACAAGAACGGTTTGACCTAAAAATATCAAAATTGAAACTACTGCGGAAACAAAGACACCTACATCTTGGATGCCGTTGAGGTAAGCTAAAACATACCAAAAATTAATTTCAAAGTGAACTATCCCTTTAAAGTTATTTCATGGTAATACTGGAATTTAGGCCATTTAGGCAGAAAAGCTTGCAAGGTTTCTCTATACTGAGAAAATAAAATAAATACAACTTTGGTATTCTCCGTCCATCCCAATACACTAAGGCATGCTAAACACATTTGCCAATATTCCATGTCGGATGGGATATGGAATGTCAGACTGAAATCACGGGTGTTTTTAATGAGCCATATCATCCTCCATAGGTGCTGGAAACGAGCAATTGACTTCGGATTCTATATGTTGCGTGGAATGTAGGAACGGTGCTCCAGTAATAATTCTTCCTTAATTAATAAAGCTGACAGGTTGTTTATCAGGAAAGGCAGGAGAGAAGGAGACTGGTAGTGCATGCAATCAAACACACACAGACACACAGCTGAGCCAGTAATCCCGAACACACTTTGGAATACATAACAGAAATCGGTCCATTCCCCCTCCTAATGCACTGTTCAATTTAAAAGAGGCGTCTGTGGAATGTGGAATGGCCATGAAATACTCAAAAATGTTCCTTTGAAGAGTGTTGCTGAAATCTTTCCCCAGCTGCTTATCACTGGGCTGAAAGTGAGAGTGCCTGTGGGCACGAAGCAAACACAAACAATCAGCAAGCCTTTGAAATAAAACTCATTACTGCAAGCATTTGTTAAACTGACATTAGTAATTATTGTGGAAGTTTGATTGCAGTATTTAAAGGGATTATTTGAATAATTAGTTAATGCCTTTAAGGAAGTATATAATGTTTACTATATGTGGCTATATAGATTTCCTAAGAAATAATATAATTATGCTCTTAATTTGCATAAAGACAATTAGGCTATATCAGATATTCAGCCACAATGCTTTTTTTGTTCATTCTTTACAACATCTGAACACTTAAGTCAAAAAATATTTTAAAAGAAGGCTGCATTTATTTAAATACTATTCTTTGATTGTAAGTGTTGAAACCAGTTGTGCTACTTAATATTTTTGTGGAAACCATGACACATTCTTTTTTCTCTGATGAACAGAAAGTTCAAAAGAACAGCATTTATTTGAAATAGATTTTCAAACAACAATGTTGAACTCTTTACTGTCACTTATAATTCATACAATTATTGCATCCTTGCTCAGTAGAATTCATTTCTTTAAAATCTTACTGAACTCAGTTTTGAACCAAGATGAATCTAAAGTTACCTCGCACAGAACTGTAACCACAACAGTAAAACATGTAGGAAGCTGTCGGTTTTTGAGCGATTACACTGGAGTGCTTTTCCTGTGATGATGTGAAGGCTGAACACGCCAATTATCCACAACACAGCATGACAGTAAGGAGCTCTCTGATGTCTGTCCAGATTTATCTGATTGGATAATCAGCTGGTACGGTTCTGTACCTTCATAGTACCTCTGTCAGTCACTGAAAATCTCTTCAGTATCCACATGGAACAAGACAGAAAATAATAGGATGGAGGCATAGTTACTTTTATGTAACAGAGTTTATCATATAGTTTTCCTAACCATAGAAAAAGCCAATTCTACACATTAAACAGCAACATGGTCTATTGATGTTATAGGCATGTATAAGCCATGACATCAAAAGCCAAGTATTGCATGTCCCAGAAAATAAAGACACCAACATTTAAGCCTTGTTGAGTACTTTAATAAACAGTTGAAAAAAAAAAAAAAAACGAAGTAGTTAAAGTGGGAAATTTGGTTGTTTGAACAAGTTTATCCGCACTTTCACTTAGCATATCAAAACATAACACTACAAACTGATCAAAGAAAAGTCATTGGTACACAATTGTCTGGCTGCTTGTCCTGACATTTTTAACTGCTTGTAAAGTATGACCAACCTCACTCTCATAATGTGGCATTATGACCAGACTAACCTCTAAAGCAGTGGTTTTCAATCCTGATCCTGGGGACCCACCACTCTGCACATTTTGTAGGTTATAGACACACTTCAGTTGCTGAAGTTCTTTCCTAATGAGCTGATGATCTGAATGAGGTGTGTTAAATAAGGGAGACCGTTGGTCCCCAGGACCAGGATTTAAAACCACTGCTCCAAAGGACTGTTTACTGTGTCATTAGACATAAAATGCTTAGAAAGTTAGGCTTGTTAGGCACAGTTTTGTGGCAAAACATTTAACACATATGATAGAAAGCCTTTTTCGTGGCCTAGATCACCACAGGGAATACAAATCTTAACATTGTCAAAATGGACTGAAGTTATGGCTCTTTACAGAACAAATCTCTTAAGACATGACTCACTTGAATGACACAGGCACAGCTATTCTGATGGGAAGTTCTTTCAAATTAAAAATAAATAACCCACATTACTCAAGAAAGTATCCTCATCTATTAAGCATGCTCTCTTATTTGCCATGTGACTTAAGCAACTGTTTCGCAAACCAAGAGATCAGTGTGAGCAACAGTAGAACAATTTTTATTGCCTCTTGGAGGTCAGCAGAGAATGAGGCTTAGTGGTTTTATAGTCATTCCTCTTTGCCCCCCACCCCCCTTTTCTCGCATAGCAAACTGTCCAGATAAACATCCATAAATAATTATGGATAAAAAATGTCAAAGGGAATAGATGGGGTGCTTATCCTCAATCCATCGAATTCCTCTTGGAAGTCCCACTACTGTAAAGTTACAAAACCAAGTTTATTTACATTTTCACACTGTTCAGTCACAGTCCTACTTGCTTAAACATGGGACTTAGTTCCGCTACCAGATATGTCAGCAGCCGCTTTATCACCACCACCGGCAATCCAGTGATAGCAATCGCTTGCGTTCTTGTTCTGTGGTTTAACTGTGTAGCGAGTACAATAGATAATGCCAAGGACCACCATCACCACAATGAAGATGCAAAGCGGCACTAGCAATCCAACTAGCAACCAGCTGGTCCCTTGGCTCTTCTCACTGTTGTTGTCATCCTCAAGGATGACCTCCTCTATTCCCCGTGACTGCATTGGGAACAGGGTGGAAGTTTGCTGCCCTGGACCAAAGGTGGTTGAATCATAATTATACCTATCATTATCATGGCCTTGGTCATAAGACTCTTCATAATCTTCATGGAAGTGTAAAGGGTTCTTAGCAGTTTCCTGTGTCTCAGGTTTTGATTGAGTTGAGCTGAACCAGAGCCAATTCCAGGCCCCACCTAAAGCTGTGGTGGAAGGGTGGTCTGTGGGAACCGTTGTGCTCTCATCCTCATAATAGTCTGGTGGTGTGGGCGTCGGAATGGTTGATGTAAAAAAGGCATTTTGAACCGGTTGTTCTGGATGATGGTCACCCTCAACATTAATGACCTCAGGGGAGTTTTCAGTCGGTGTAGTTGTTTCAGGCTCCACTTCAGTTGTCCAAATCAGGTCTGTCGGAACAGTCTCCACGTTGGGCAGCTCAGTCTGCCAGTTCAGAGGTATTCCCCAATCAGACTTAGATGGAGGGTGCCATGGGTAGACAGGATCCTCTGGTTCCAAAATGGGGTTAAAAGTAAATGGGTTAGACACAGTAGTTGTGGAAGTCTCCAGGTCCTCCTCGATGGGTCTGCAGGAATAGTGGTCTGGTTGAAGAATATGACCTTCTTCACAGTAGCACTCAAAGCCTCCTTCAAAATTGATACACATCTGTTCGCATGTTTCCTCAATTTGGCATTCGTCAACATCATGACAGCGACTCTGGTCCTCTTGCAATGGGGCAAAACCAAGATGGCAGTGGCAAATATGGGAACCCAATGTGTTTTCACAAGCATGTTCACACAGGTCATCCACACACTCATCCACATCTTCACAGGCACCCTCTTCATCTTGTCGGTATCCATCCCGGCAGCGACATTCGAAGGTACCAGGTGCATTTACACAGATTTGCTCGCAGGGACTCTGCAGGCATTCATCGACATCTACACAGCCACGTTCATCAGGTGCCAGCATGTAGCCATCAGGACATGCACAGCGGTAGCCGTCCATTACAGGCAAGCACTCAAACTCACATGGAGCCCCATTGCAAGGGTCAGACGGAAAGCAGCTTACCCCATCCTCAGCCAGGAGAAAACCCTCAGTGCAATCGCAGTAGTTGTGCGAGTCACCCTCAATGCAGAAGTGATGGCAACCTCCGTTGTCCTTATCACACCAGCTTGTCTTAGTCAAATCAGAGCAAAAAGGTGGATCCCTGTTCCAACCTACAGTTCCATCATCCTTTAATGTGCACAGAACTGACTGGTCATCCATAGTAGGACATGGTACAGTTGCCACTGATCCAAATGGGACATGCATTAAGAGGGTACTCAGCAGGTTAAAAGGGGTACTATAAAGTGTATTCCCACCTCCCTCACTAGCAATAGCTGTACACATGCCTTGGAAGTTGTACCTGCACAGGTAGCCATCTACTGAAATCGAACAAGGTCCGTCCTTCCATTTTAGATTATCCCCTTGCTCATGGGCTGCAGTGCTGTAGGGCATCCCCACACATCGTGGGGAAGAGCAGGTACTAACCGAATCCTCTTTTAGCCAGTTTGTGTACTGGGTGTCCTGATCTCCAGTGATCCACGAGAAGCCACGCAGGGGCCGGGTTGGAGAACATTGTCGGGGTTGTCTCTGAAGGCCAATCCAGATGTTTGCCTTGCCTCTGTGGTGTGGTCTCAGTTCCACATTGGAGAAGAGCTCCTTCACCATTTCTGCTTCCTTTGGATGCCTGATGGTGGCCAGGTTCCCACCTTGTTCCTTGCAGCTCCGCCAGGCGTCCAGGAAGATCTTGCGCTGAAAGTAGAGCACATAGCACCCATCCTCGCTGCAGAGCGCATCCCGTTCTCTCAAGTCCAGAGTCTGCACGCCGTAGATGCAAAGTAGTGAGGACAGCAGAATAACACACAGGATCGGACAGCCCATACCTCACACCTATTCTTTTTTCCTTTGTATTCTTTTTCCCTTTTTTAGGTGGCTTTCAATATGCTAAAATACTCTTCAGTGCCCTAGATGCCCATTTTTCTTATACTTGTAGCTATATTAAACTTTCCCCTTCTTTCATTTCATCTCATCTCTCACCACCCTCCTTTCTCTCTCCTGTCCAGTGGAGATCTGTGCCTAAGTTGAGAACTTACAATCTCACCCTTGACGTTCCAGCAAGAGAGAGAGAGAGAGAGAGAGAGAGAGAGAGAGAGAGAGAGAGAGAGAGAGAGAGAGAGAGAGAGAGAGAGAGAGAGAGAAAGGGAGGGAGGGTTGGAGAGATGGAAGAAGGGTAGGAGTGACTGAAGAAAAGGGGGGAGACGAAAAAGATGTTTTTGGCACAGGCAGGACCAATGTGTGTGTGTATTTTGGGGGGATTGGGGGGAAGTGCAGCAGTCTCTGTGCTTTTTCACCAGAACGTAACGTATGTTTCTCATAAGAGCGTGTATGGAAATGGTTTGGGACTCTGGCCCTGCTGCACCACCCCCCGCAACTCCATGTGACTCTCCACCCCCACCAAACTCTGAATGCAGGATAAGTTAGAACAAACTGTAATGCTTATATTTTACCCACATAAAAAGCAGACAAAAACTAGAGAATTTTTAACAAAGACCAAGTCTTCTCTAACAGTCCCACTCACGTCTCTCAGGACTTTCTTATTCCAGCTTTTCTCTGATCTTTCCACTTTTTCATATTGTTTTCTGATGTCTTTCTGGGTCTCTCCTTGGTTCTACTGGAGCTGTGGGTAATGTGTTATCATGCCCTGTAAAAGCTATTGTGCTCTTAAGCATTTTTTTCTTTTTTCCCCAAATGTCCCCCTCCTCTCTAAAACCAGGCCTATAAAAAAATGAAAGACCAAATATAAAGACAAAAGACAAAATTAAGAAAAATGTTAATATCCAAATAAAGTATGTAACTTTATTGTACTAATATTAGATGAATGAATTACTCAAGAAATTATTATAGCAATTAAATATTTTATGTTGGAATGAAAAATAAGTGTTTATTTATATGTTTCAAAATATGTCAATGAATGTAAATGTGCAAATGTCCAGTTTTCAGAAACCTTGATGAATGAAACAAGTATTGTTCATACCTGACTGAGCGTAGAAAAACTCAAATGACCTGAAGTCTGCCTGTGAAAACTCTGCAACATCAACAATCACTGTGCACCGGAATGATAACAGACCTAGTTATACTAGAGGTTAAAGTATCCACAATGGTAAGGAACAAAAGCAGATCTAGTTTTGTAAAGAAAACAGAGAAGGGGGAAAACTGAGCTGGGTCTCGGTCTGTATATAGTTGTAATGGGGATACAGTTCTGTGGGGGGTTACACAGGAGCAGCCTGAGGAGGAAATGGGTGGATTTCTAAAAGATCATTAAAAAAAATTCACCCTTGTGAATGAAATACAGATGAAGCACACGTCTAACACAACTGATAATATCAGATACCTACTTCATGCACTAAAGTGGGTGGTGTGTATCAGTGTTTCTAAGAGTTTATTTTATTGTCTATTACTATGGACAAGGACTCATAAAACTTGACAATCGTAAACCAAGCAATTTGTCTCATGTTGTGGTGATCATTAAAAGCAAATATTTCACATAATAACTTTTTGGCGAGGTCTCAAAAGGTTAAATGATTTGTAATCTGTGGATTTGTTTTTCAGTGCACATGCACAATGATACATTTACAATGCAAAATTCACTGTTAGTAAACAGAGAAAAGATACTTGTGACTATCCCAAGAGCTTGTTCATACATTGCAAATGTTCTACAAGAACATATCATTCATTACCATGGAAACACTCAATGTGAAAAATACAACCCTGGATCTGTGTAATAGCTACAGTCTTGAGCAAAATGAAACATGAATTAAAATCTAAGAATCAAAGGGATTTTTTTTTTCAATACATAAAACCAAACTGAAGATTCGATTTCTAGGAATGTGTTTTAAACAATTTAATTTGACTTTATTTTGACCTCTAAATTTACTTCAGTCTATTTTCTTTATATCTCACCATCAGTATTAATGTACACAACTTTGATCTCACAACTCAACATTTCTCAGGTACACTGAGGTAAAGCAAGGTCAAATCTGCAGGACAGCACAGAAGATCCTCAGGGTATTTTTCTCTCTCTCATTTATTTGCCTTTATTTTTTTTTCCTGGAACAGTCCACCCACCACCTGTAAACCACATTTGCTCTTTTCCACCCTCAAGATCCCCAATATCTTAATATTGTTCTCAGGTCTCGAGCTTCTCCCCGTCATATCATGCAGAACTGAGTCTTTCGCCCACTAGCTGCTCTGTAAACAGTGTCTCTAATTCTTGCATGTGATAATTATATGAATTAGAGCTGTGATTAGGACCGAGAAGAGAATAATGAACTGTTAAACATGTAACAGACATTCATGTCTTCAAGCATTAAGCTTGCTATTATGCTCTCATGCTGTTTGTAACTTGGCAGGAGTCAGAATTGTTCGTTTGGGGCCTCTGGAAAGTAAAAGCAGACTTAGTTCACACTTGTTAGGTTTGGTTCGATTAAAACGAACTCTGGTGCGATAGCTCTGTTTGTGCCGTTCATTTGAATAAGTGTGAACGCTGCCATCCTAACCCTGGTGCCACCAAACAAGCGGACTGAGACCACTGAAAAGATGGGTCTCGGTCCACTTTGAAACAAACTCTGGTGTGATTCGACTGAAATATGAACACAACACAGACCAAAGTCACAAATTAACCAAAAATAGGACACAATGTCACAAGATGCGACCATAAAAAGGACAGAATGCTCATCATAGTCGCGATGTTGCCCATCACAGTTCGGGACAGGCATCAGAACCGCGTCTCCTCGCAGCAGAAATGTGTGTGAGTGACGGAGGGATTCCTGCCGCTGTTTTGACTCCTTTACCCATTTTATAAGCTCTGCACGAGTTGTCAGCTCCATCATATGCAGGCTACACACATACAGCGAGCACATTTAGTCCAGCACACACAGCATTGGTTTGGATGTTCGACAAGTTCCTGCACTAAATATACTACATAAAAGCCTTTTTTTTTGTATCTTTATGTTGGGTGTTAAAAATGACACTGTGAACCAGGACTAAATGTATCATTTTCTTTTTTGGTCCGGACTGAAAGAACTGAACTACAAGTGTGAACACACCCTTAATGCTATTAGTTCTGAGATACTGATGCGAATGTAAGCCTCATACAGAGAACACTACAAACTCTAAACACACATCATTCCATAGTCTTGAAAACAGTATTCCACAAAAAAAAAAAGAGAAACATTATTGTTATATGTTACCGGTCAACATTCCCAGCTGTGTTTGGAAACAAGGATCTTGGTGCAGGATGTATAGTCTGTGTTTGACATATATAAAATTCATAATTCAGTCTTTGAGAGCACTTACGGAAAGTACTCTCCCTGAACCATAAGTCTCAAATCCAATTCAGTTGAAGCGCTCATCCCAAAGATACATTTCTGGGTCAGGAACTACTTGACTGTACAAGCATACAGACACTGCATGGATCACACATATATCATGTTCAGACACTGTGCATCAGTGGCGGAGCCAGGGGGTGGCCAGGGGTGGCCATGGCCACCCTTGGCTTAAGCTTGGCCACCCCTTTGGCCACCCGTCTCACAACTGCCGTTTCAGTCTCTCTCTCTCTCTTTTTTTTTTTTTACAAGAATTGCGTTTTTAAAACACAGAACCGTATCTTACGACCACAAAAAACGTGAGACTTTTCAGACGCGCACTCCAACTTCACCTCAGCGTCAGGCGCAAGTCAAACGAGTGCGGAAATGTACAGGTGCCGAATAAGCTTCAGCAGTGACCGGAGCATAGTAAATATAGATTCGATGTTCCTCAACTGGTGGGTTGCAAGATCGTTTTGAGTGAGTCGCATATGTCCAGTCAAAGAAACAACAACGTAATTCTCTTTTTTTCTGATTCTACTTTTATTTTGAAAGATCTGTGTGAAAGCTTGTGACACTTCTGTCAGATGCGGAGAAAAGCGCGTTGTCCTGAATCAGTTGGCTATCTGCTGTAAGATGAGATGTTGCAAGGTCAACAAATGTCAGTAAAATTAACTTTTTACTGTCCTGTCAGACGTTGTACTGTACTTGCACATCACGCGCAAATGTGGCGTGGTGTAGCCGTAGTTCTGTCGTCAATTGACTGAAATAATCAAAAAGGCGATCAAATCTGTGTCAAAACGGCATACATGTATGTATTTGTTATATATGCGTCACATATGTCTAGACTAAAATATTCTGCCATGTTTAAGGCACAAACTGATAGGCTATGTGGTTTTTTAATGTACAAATAAATGTGAGCACTGTGCATTTGTACTAGAAGATAGGCGTTAATTTTGCGTTAATTTGTAAAGGACAAAAATAAAATGCATAATTTTTAAATCCATAAAATTTTACATTCTGCCATTTATGTGCATGTTGACTTCCGCCTTGTTCACATTCTTGCACATAGCGAATCAAAAGAGATGTTTCCCCCCTTTTTAATTAGGTATGATAGAACGGTTTAGATTCTTTATTTTGTCAACTAATATAGAAAGTAGAAGAGTTAATTGATTATATAAAATTCAATGAGGGTTAAATAATCTTTGAACTACAGTAGTTATGTGCATGTCTCATCCATGAAGGTGCAACAATGTTGGGGGTTTTGAGAACACCATGCTAACTGAGCAAGTTTACTATATGACTAAAGAACTTTAGCTGTAGTGTGTGTCCCCTTTATTAATATGCCTGGAGGTGGTGAGTAGCTAATAATAATAAAGAAATATCAAATTCACTCAGTATTCCATGATTCCTAATTCACTACTCTCTCAATTACAATTGAATACAAATGAACTGTATTCAGTTGTGTAGGAACAGTCCAATACATTATTTAAATAATTAAGATTTATGTGCCACCCCAGACTGTTTGCTGGCCCCTGCCTGGCCACCCCTATGAAAAAATCCTGGCTCCGCCACTGCTGTGCATTACATCTGTTTAAATATTACAGCATCTGGAGATCTTTTGATTCAGACGAAAAGCTGACTCAATCTGAATGCTAGAAAGGAACAGACAACAAATTCGCACAGATATAAACACTGTCCTCTATATTGATATCAACTTGTATCCAAGATTGG